CCTGCTCGGGACGCTCGGCCTCCCCTGCGGCGGCGATGGCTCCCTGGACCAAGGCAAAGAGCTGCCTGGCGGCCGGTTTGCTGCAGGACCAAGTGTCCATCGTCACCGGCGGGGCCACGGGCATCGGAAAGGCCATCGCGAAGGAGCTCCTGCTCCTGGGTACGTAAGCGGGCCACCTCCCGCTTTCCATCGGGCCCGGGTCCGGGGTCAGTAGTCGAGGGACCCTGGGCGGAGCTGGGAAGTGTGAGCGGCCGAGCAGAGGGTAGTGTGGGCGCCATTACGACCAGCGGAAGAGAGGAGAGAGGAATTCCCGAGAAAGTGTGAAGCCACTAGTCAGGAAGCAAGGGGGACAGCACTTAGGGCCCAAGAGACTGCGCCCGAGGTAGGCAATAAGGAGACCTGTGAAAACATGCTGTGGGATTAATGTTTATTCATATTGAAAGCGAATCCGTATTGGATGTTGCCTAATCTGAGGGATTAGGAAACACAGGAAGGCTTCATTTAACTGGAAAAGGTTGTAAACATATGGAGAGGCGCTCATCGTATGATCTTCTCACATCTCTTATCATACCCACAACAAGAAAATACAGTGAATATTTACCTTAACTTGGGTGAAGGGAGGACCTTGTAAGTTCATCAGTGAGAGAATACACCACAAAGGAGAATGTGAAGATGTAAATCATCATTGAATTAAAGAATTATGTAGCCGGGTTAGAGGATTGCCAGAGCTCAGGGGTTAGAGACCAGTCTGAGCAACATAGCGAGACCATGTTTCTACAATAAATAAAAAAAATCAGCTGGGTGTGGTGGTATATGCCTGTGGTTCCAGTTACTTGGAAGGCTGACGTGGAAAGATCGCCTGAGCCCAACAGGCTGACGCTACGGTGGCCATGAGCATGCCACTGCTCTCCAGCCTGGGTGACAAAGTGAGACTCCAACTCAAAAAAAAAAAAAGGAAAATAAAAAAAAGAATAATGTAAGGCCGGAAGTTCAAGACCTGCCTGGGCAATGTGAGCCCCTGTCTCTACAAAATAAAAAAATAAAAAATTATCCAGGTGTGGTGGTGTGCACCTGTAGACCCAGCTACTCTGGAGACTGAGGAGGGAGGATTGCTTGCACACATGAGTTTGAGGCTACAGTGAGCTATGATTGCACTGCTGCCCTCCAGCCTGGGTGACAGAGTAAGACCCTGTCTCTAAAAACAAATAAATAAAATAAAAAGTGTATATATAAAGTTTAAAGACATATGAAGAAAAATATTTACCACACAAGACAAATAATCTTTTTTTCTTTTGAGTGGGAGTCTCACTCTGTTGCCCAGGCTGGAGTGCAGTGGCATGCTCATGGCCACCGCAGTCTTGACCTCCTGGGCTCAGGTGATCCTTCTGCCTCAGCCTTTCAAGTAGCTGGAACTACAGGCGTGCGCCACCACACCCAGCTAATTTTTTGATTTATTGTAGAGACGAGGTCTCACCAAGTTGCCCAGGCTGGTCTTGAACCCGTGGGCTCAGGCAGTCCACTTGCCTCAGCCTCCCAAAGCACTGGGATTACAGGCTGAGCCACTGAGCCCAACCTATATGGAGAATTAAAGTGTTTTATCTCTATGTGGAAAACTTACCAAAAATAGTTTGGACAGTGCGCCCCACTCATTGTGTACCTTATTGGATACCTTACAATAAGAAGCAGACTTTTTTCCTGCCTTTTTGAATTGTCATACTCTTTTCGATGTTTGGATCATCTTCCTACATTTAATCCTTTTTTGTGGGTGTCACTTCCTCTGGGACATCTTCATCCTCTTTGTCATAACCCCTTTTCGCATTTATGTTAAGTTTACTTTTACTAAGGTCTTCTGGCTATATCTGGTCTCTAGCATGGCAGAATTGCCAACAGTCTCAAGGTCAGCTATTCCTTTTAACTCTCTTGGTGATCAATTCTAATTTCATTCCCAATGTTACTAATTTTCATTTGTTTGTCTCACTTTCATCTTTGTTGGCCAGTTCCTCTTTCGATCATCCACTTTTTAAAAATGTCACATGGGTTTATTGTTGGAAGACCAGGAGGTGACACAGCTACATTCTTTGCTGTCTGTGTGTGAACTGCTGAAGGGATGCAAGGTAACCAATCCTTGACAGACATTGAAGAAAGGACATACTGAGTCACTGGTCATGATGAGCATGTGTTATTTGCATAGTGATTTGTGGGTTGAAGAGCGGGCAGTGAAGTTTGCATTTTATGCGTTACTCACAGTTAATATGCCATGGTACCTAAAATTTGAACCATGTTGTTGAAGGAATGGTGTCATTTAACTAAGCTAACATAACTGAAATCAGCGTGTGTTGGAGCTGAGCAAAACAAGGACTGTCTGTGCTTTCGTTTCACCCTTCCTGGCCTTTGAGCTATTATCCTCAAGGGGAAGGAGGGAAGCATTTTATTTCTGCGCATACTGTAAGTCTCATAGTATACTGTTAATTTTGCTTTAAACTGTCACCATCTCAAAGGGATCTTAATAGAAGAAAAGTCTTTATTTACTCACTTCATTACCATTTCTGGTTCTCTGTCTTCTTTGTGTAGATATAGATTTCCATCTGGTATCTTTTTCCTTCTGCTAGAAGGACCTCCTTTCATATCTTTTTGTAGTGCAGGTCACTTTGTTGAATTCTTCCAGCTTTCATATGTGAGAAAAAAGTATTTTGCCACCATTTTTGAAAGATGTTGTCACTGGGTCAAGGTTTCAAGGTCCACAATCTTTTTTTTTTTTTTTTCAGTACTATAACGATGTTCCATTGTCTTTGGCTTGTGTTGTTTGTGAAATAAGTCCTTATTGTTTTTGTTTTGTACTTAATATTTTTATTTTCTTTGGCTGGCTTTCAAGATTTTTCTCAGCTGGGTGTGGTGGCTCATGCCTGTAATCCCAGCACTTGGGAGGCTGAGGTGAGAGGATTGCTTGAATCCAGGGGTTCGAGACAAGGCTGGACAACTTGGCAAGACCTCGTCTGTACAGTGAATCAAAAAATTAGGCAGGTGTGGTGACACTTGCCTGTGGTTCTAGCTTCTTGGAAGGCTGAGGTGGAAGGATCACCTGAGTCCAGCAAATCAAGTTTGCGGTGGCAACAGAGTGAGACTCCGACTCAAAAAAAAAAAAAAAAAAAGATTTTTCTCTTCATCCTTGGTCTATTTAATTATATCATCAGTGCCATTTCTGGGTCTGTTTTTACAAGTTGACTTTCTCCTCATTGTAGGCTATTATTTTCCCGCTCCTTTGCTTGCCTGGGAGCTTTTTGTTGGATGACATTTGAATCTCACCTTGCTGCATGCTGGTTGTTCTTTTAAGAAGGAGTCTCACTCTGTAGCCCAGGCTGGAGTGTAGTAGCACACCATCGCAGCCTTGACCTGCTGGGTGGGCTCAGGTTATCCTTCTGCTTCAGCCTCCCAAGTAGCTGGAACTACAGGTATGTGCCACCGTGCCTGGCTAATTTTTTTGACTTATTGTAGAGATGAGGTCTTGCCATGTTGCCCAGGCTAGTCTTGAACCCCTGAGCTCAGACAGTCCTCTCGCCTCCGCCTCCCAAAGTGCTGGTATTACAGGCGTGAACCACCATGCCCAGTTTGTTTTTATATTCTTATAAATATTCTTTAGCTTTTTTCTGGGATGCAGTTGGAAACAGCCTGATACTTTAAAAGAGGCTTGATTCAAGCAGCCTTTAGTCTACTGCGAATTTTACTGAGGCCATCCTCCTCTGGGTACTTCACCTACTGCCTGGTGAAAGATTTTTCCTTGTGGGCACACTAGCCATTCCCTGTGCTATGTGAGTGCCAGAGTTTGTTTCCCCTGCAGATTTTGTTTGACTCTTCCACTGTTGATTTACTCCCATGCATTGATGAGTACTGAGCTGAACATTCAGGGGGGATGCTGATGATCTCTGGAGTTCCCTCTCTCTGTACCTCTTCTCTTGATGTCCTGTGCATTCTCCCTGCCTTGGTTACCTGGACTCCTATCTTCATCTCTTCCACCCAGGGAGACCTCTGGGCCCTAAATGAAATCCCCCTCCCAGGCTGTAGTCTGGAAGCTTTCTTCAGGCAGTGAACTGGGACAATCAGAGGGTTCATATTTGTTTCCACTGTGCTACTTGATGTCCAGTGCTTGAAAACCATTTAAAAATATATATATTTTGTTCAGTTTTTAGTTGTTTCAGGCTGAAGGGTAAATTCATTTCCTATTACTTTATCTTGTCCAGAAGCAGAGTTCCTGATTTATTTTTTTTAAAAATAGGCTTTTCTACATGAAATAGTTTGAAAAGATTATTTTTGTTGGTTGCACAATTCTTGAAGGCATATTTACATGTTCTCTGGCTGTTTTCTCCTCAGGAAGTAAAGTGGTCATTGCATCCCGTAAGTTTGATAGGTTGAAATCTGCTGCGGATGAACTGAATGCCACCTTTTCTCCCACCAACCAGGCTCGAGTTATTCCCATACAATGCAACATCCGGAAAGAAGAGGAGGTAATGCAAATATATCTATAGCATTTATTCACTCATTGTAATTTGCAGTATTGTAGTGATTTCTTTTGTTTTCTTTTTTTGAGTCAGTGTCTCACTCTGTCACCCAGGCTGGAGTGCTCAGGTGATCCTTCTGCTTCAGCCTCCTGAGTAACTGGGACTACAGGCACGTGCCACCATGCCTGGCTAATTTTTTATTTTTTGTGGAGACCAGGTCTCTCTCTGTTGCCCAGGCTGGTCTTGAACTCCTGGGCTCAGGCAGTCCTCCCCTTGGCCTCCCAAAGTGCAGGGATTACAGAGGCGAACCACTGTGCCAGGCCAGCATTCCAATTTCTAGACCTGGCAGTACTTCTTGTTCTCTGATGGTAGCTGACTTACGTGAGGTTTACTGAAAGCAGAGCCTGTGATGAAAGTTCTTGTGTTAATGATTTGTTGAGGCTGGAACCTCAGGACAAGGAGAGGGAGGGAAGAAAGGATGTGGTCTTAGCTAGAGAGTATGTTTTATGCTGTTTGCCCTTTACATCATTTTAATTTTTAAATTTTTATTTTTTTATTATTATTATTTTTTTGAATTGGAGTCTCACTCTGTCGCCCAGACTGGAGTGCAGTGGCCACTCCCAGCCACCGCAGCCTCGACCTGCTGAGCTCCGGCGATCCTTCCGCCTCAGCCTTCCGAGTAGCTGGAATTACAGGCATGCGCTACCATGCCCGGCTGATTTTTTTATTTTTTTGTTGTAGAGATGAGGTCTCGCCAAGTTGCTCAGGTGGGTCTCGAACCCGCGGGCTCAGGCATTCCACTCACCTCAACCTCCCAAAGCGTGGGATTACAGGCTGGGCCACCGAGCCCGGCTACATCATTTTTTAATGTTCTTTTTTAACCTGAATTGATCGCTGTTTTTCTGGATTGGTGGCATATGAATATATGACTGAGGTGTGCCCCACTTAGGGGTGACATAGGCCTTTGGATATATCTTGTCATCAAAATTGCAATTTTAACCCTATGGCCTGTGGGTTTTGAATGATGGTAAATTACTCACTGGTGTAGGCTTAATCATTCCTGACTTGGTCTTCATTCACATGTACTTGGTGTTATAGTTACTGTGAGAGATTGCACGCCCTGTTATGTTTCTAGAGCAAGCCATTAACCTAAGTAGCAAGTGGGGTGGTTTAGGTTTTACTTAAAGTTTTAAGTTTACTTCTGAGTTTTTAACGTTCAATGTTCTTTAGGTGAATTATTTGGTCAAATCTACTCTAGATGCTTATGGTAAGATCAATTTCTTGGTGAACAACGGAGGAGGCCAGTTCCTTTCTCCTGCTGAACACATCAGTGCAAAGGGATGGCATGCTGTGATTGAGACTAACCTGACGGGCACCTTCTACATGTGCAAAGCAGGCAAGTGCCACCAATATCCCCAGATCAACATGTCTTTATTGAGAGATCGCAGAGAATTTGTTTTTACTTTTAAAAAATTTTTTTGAGTCGGAGTCTCACTCTGTGGCCCAGGCTGGAGCACCGTGTTATGCTCACGACCACTGCAGCCTCAGTGATCTGCTGGGCTGAGGGGATCCTTTCGCCTCGGCCTTCCAAGTAGCTGGAACTGTAGGCGCTCACCACCACGCCCAGCTAATTTTTGATTTGTTGTAGAGATGAGGTCTCAGCCAAGTTGACCGTGCTAATTTTGAGTCTCTGGGCTCAGGTAATCCTCTCGCCTCAGCCTCCTAAATTGCTGAGATGATAGGCTTGAGCCATCATGCCTGGTCTGTTTTTACTTTTAAAATAGGGCTTTTAGTTTCTATAATAAAATAGGGCTTTTATTTTTCTATATCATGATAATAATAGTGAAAAACTGAAAACCATGTAAGTATTCACAGTAAAGTATTAGTTGAATGAAATTTTATACATTTATATGATAGAGAACTATGTAGCAATATTGGTATTTGGCCAAGCATGGTGACTCACATTTATTTATTTATTTATTTTTGAGTTGGAGTCTCACTCTGTTGCCCAGACTGGAGTGCAGTGGCCGCTCCTGGCCACTGCAGCCTCGACTTGCTGGGTTCCGGCGATCCTTCCACCTCAGCCTTCCAAGTATCTGGAATTACAGGCACGCGTTACCACGCCCAGCTGATTTTTTGATTTATTGTAGAGATGAGTTCTCACCGCCCAGGCGGGTCTCGAACCCACAGGCTCAGGCAATCCACTCACCTCAGCCTCCCAAAAGCATGGGATTATAGGCTGAGCCACCAAGCCCAACTTATGGCTCACATTTATAATCCCAGCACTTTGGGAGGCCCAGGTGGGGGGATTGCTTGAGCTTAGGAGTTTTAGACCAGCCTAAGCAACACAGGGAGACCTTATCTCTACCAAAAGAAAAGTCACAAAATTAATCAGGCTTGCCAGGTATGGTGGCTCATGCCTGTAGTTCCAGCACTTTGGGGAGGCAGAGGCAAGAGGATCGTCTGAGTCCAGGGTTCGAGACCAGCCTGGGCAACTTGATGAGGCCTTGTCTCTCTAATAAATCCCAAAAATTAGTCAGGCGTGGTGGTGTGCACTGTTGTCTCAGGTACTTGGAAGGCTGAGTCAGAAGGATTGCCTGAGCCCAGCAGGTCGAGGCTGTGGTGGCTGTGAGCATGCCACTGCACTCCAGCCTGGGTGACAGAGTGAGACTCTGACTCCAAAACCAACCCAAACAAAACAAGAAAAGTAGTTAAACATAGAGTTATATGCCTCAGTCATTTCACTTCTAGGTATCTACCCAAGAGAAATGAAATTCTTGTGTCCCCAGAAAGTTATATTTGTAATCACCCCACAGTGGAAACAGTCCAAATGTTTATTAGCTGATGAGTGTATCAATAAACGTGGCACACCCGTGCAATGGGCTACTACGTGGCAACATAAAGGAAATGTTAATACATAATAACACAGATGAACCTCACCAACAGTATTCTAGTAGAGGAAACCCCAGGCACAGAAGACCACTCATTGTGTGACTCAGTTTATATGAAATGTTCAGAAAAGGCCAAGGCCAATCTAGAGAAATAGAGAGATCAACATTTTCTTGGGGATATGTTGGGCTGCAAATGGGTATGAAGGAACTCCTTGGGGTGATGGAAATGTTCTAAAACTGGATTGTGGTCATGGTCACACAAGTCTGTATGTTTATTAAAAATCATTAAGTTGTACACTTCAAGTGGATGAATTTCATGATGTGTAAATGGTACCAGAATCAGACTTTTTATTTCAAAAAGTAAACAAAAATATAAAACATATCAAATAGGCAGCATGCTGGAACAAGGTATCAGAGAGGTCAGGACACTGTTTAATACATTAATATGTCGTTTGTATCCTGCAGTCTATAACTCCTGGATGAAAAAGCATGGAGGATCAATTGTTAATATCATTACCGTTACCAAAAGTGGATTTCCATTAGCTGCGTAAGCATTTTTATAAAATTTTTTTCTTTGTATGTCTTTGGGTTTCGTCCTCTGAGTAGGGGGAAATGGGACAGGAAAAATTTCTTAAACCAAGATTATTAATTCCTTTAATGAGTTGAGATCTCAGTACTTAACATGTCCCTTTATTTGAACTTTAAAAATGTCCTTCTAAAACCTTCCTATTCAGATTAGGATTGCCAGATTTACCAACAAAAGAAAAAAATATTGGTCAAATTAAACTGAATCCCTTCTGTTTTATCTAGCAACTCTAATCCATTTATGACTAAACTTGCCATCATTGTCTGGGAACTGCTTCTTTGTTAAGGTGTGCAAATGAAGCTTATTTGTGTTAATTTAAATTTGAATAACATGAATATACCTAATTTTAGACAGGGCTGCTAAATTATTATTTCTAACAGATTATCCAGAATTTTGTCCCAAAAGTTTCTAAGGTTGTATACTTCTAATTAGACATTCTATATGCAGAGTTTGCTTCCTTCATGAAAATTCTAGCACCCTACCTAATTCCTGTATTATTTAGAACTCCCTGTCTTGTATGGGATAGAAATTAAATTCACACTGGCTTAATAAAAATCTAGGATAGAGTCAGGCGTGTGGCTCAAGCCTATAATCCCAGTACTTTGGGAGGCAAAGGTGAGAGGATTGCTTGAGTCCAGGGGTTCGAGACCAGCCTGGGCAACTTAAAGTATTAGTTGAGTGAAGTTTTATACATTTATCTGATAGATAACTAATAGCCATTACCAATATTGGTATTTGTCCAAGCATGGTGGCTTACCTCTGTAATCCCAGTACTTTGGGAGGCCCAGGTGGGAGGATTGTTTGATCCCAGGAGTTTGAGACTAGCCTAAGCAACGTACTGAGACCTTGTTTCTACAAAAAAAAGAAAGAAAGAAAAAAGAAAGAAAAGAAAAAAAGCCAGGCATGGTGGCGCTTGCCTGTGGTTTCAGCTACTTGGAAGGCTGAGGTGGAAGAATACCCTGAGCCTAGCAGGTCTAGGCTGCGGTGTCCGTGAGCGTGGCACTGCACTCCAGCCTGGGCAACAGACTCCAACTCAAAAAAAATCTAGGATAGTAGTTCTCCAAGTGTGGCTTCCCGACCAGCAATATCAACATCACGTGGGAGAACCTGTGAAAGCTGTTAATTTCCTAGCATCAGAAACTCCAGGGGTTTGGGGCGCCAGCCCCCAAAAAAATTTTTAGGGGGTCCCTTGGAGTGGGTAATGCTAAACAACAAAGAAAGGAGGAGGAGGGAATGGACCTTCAGCTCCTAAACCAAGCCTGGTGGTCTTAGGGTCCGCAGCCCACCTGGATCCCTAATGCTCAGGCAGGCCTCCACGGCCGGCTCCCAACACAGGGGTGGAGCCCAGCAATCTCTCCAGGCCCTCAGAGATTCTGGTATCTGCAGAACCACTGCACTTGGGACTAGTAAGTCTCAGCCATGATGTTGGGAAAGCTGCCTCTCCTTTTGTTTTTGCTTTCTTCAAGTCCACCACCTTTATTCTCAGGCAGGCTCTCTTATGTGTGGCAAGAAGCAAGTACCAGCAGGCGTTAGAGGTCAACACTCTAGCTGCTGTCAGTCTCCCAGTGAGAGAGAGAGAGAGTGCTTTTCAAAATGCCAGAAAATAAACAAGCAGACAAACAAATACCAATGCCAGCAGGTCCTGGGAAGGATTGTCACTAGCTGACCCTCCTTGGGTCTTGTGTCCAGCCATCAACCAAATACTGTGGGGATAAAGTTGCTGTGCCACGCATGGTCACCTGAGGACTGAGGAGCTGGTCCACACCACTTGGACACGAACTGAGACAGGCCACAGGTGGTTCCTTGTGTGGAAATCAAGGTGATTTGACCACGACCGGTAAAGAATGTAGGGCAGGCAAATGAGCTCACTGTACTTCACTTTCTTGCTCGTTATTCTTTACTTACCTTTACTTTTCTTAACATCTTGGAAGAAATAAAGTCAGTTCAGATTTTAGGTTCTTTCTGGCATTTCCCATACCCACAGGCAACTACTATTAGTTTTTGGGCATATCTTTTTCCCACTTTTTAAAAATAAAAACTCTAGTGTACTGTAAACACTGTTCCGTATTTTGCTGTTCTCAAATGAACAATATATCCAAGACGTATTTTCTTAACAGAGTCTAAAGAGGTTTCTTATTATTTTCTATGGCTGTCTAATATGCCACTTTTTTTTTTTGAGTTGGAGTCTCACTCCATCACCCAGGCTGGAGTCCAGTGGCACACTCACGGCCACTCCAGTGTCGACCTGCTGGGCTCCAGTGATCCTTCCACCTCAACCTTCCAAGTAGCTGGAACTACAGATGCACACTACTACACCCAGCTATTTTTTTTTAATTGTAGAGACGGGGTCTTGCTAATTTGCCCAGGCTGATCTTGAACCCGCGGGCTCAGGCCGTCCACTTGCCTCGGCCTCCCAAAGTGCTGGGATTACAGGCTGAGCCAGCAAGCCCGGCCCATATGCCACTTTATAAACAATAAATAAAATAGAATTTATTTAACCATTTCCATTTAATGAACATTTGGGTTTTTCCCTACTTTTTGTTATTACCAAAGCAAAACAAAGCACCTGCAATAAGTAATACTGTATATACATCATTCAGCATGTGGGCTAAGTTGCAAGAAGTATAATTGCAGAGTTGAAAATCATGCCTTTGTAATTGTAATGGATGTTTCCAAACTGCCCTTCAAAGGTAGTTTCCTTTTTATGGATGAAGTTTAATGTCTTTTATGTATATATACGAAATAGTAAAGGTTTTTTTGCTTAAAATAAATTTTTTCGGCTGGGCGCAGTGGCTCAGCCTGTAATCCCAGTACTTTGGGAGGCCGAGGTGAGAGGATTGCCTGAACCCCCGTGGGTTCGAGACCAGGCTGGGCAACTTGGTGAGACCCCGTCTCGATAATAAATCACAAAAACTAGCTGAGTGTGGTGGTGTGCATCTGTAGTTCCAGCTACTTGGAAAGCTGAGGTGGAAGGATCACCTGAGCCCAGAGGGTCAAGGCTGTAGTGGGTATTCCAATAAAGCTTTTTGCACAAGTCTACAAACAGGGAGCTCCAGGGAGAGCAACATTCTGGCAATACGTCTCAAAGATTGACTTTGACTCAGAGGTCGGTAGACACAGGAGGAGGAGAA